GGGGGCGTCGGGGCATCCTGCGCTTCGTCGCTTCGGGCTGCCGCAATCCGCTCAACAATAGCCGGGGGTTAGCGTTAAAATCGCAAGTGTTCGGCGCCGGGGATGGAAGGAAATGGGGATTGCGGAGAAGCAGGTGTGTTTGCTTTTTTTTTGTTTTTTATGTTACCTTTTATTAGGCGTATTAAAATGTAAGAAAGAAGTAAACCCGATAAGAAAAAGGAAAGGGAAAGGATAGGGGTGGTTGTGGGTGGGGGCATTCGGGATGGTGGTTGGGGGTCGAAAAGGGTTCGGTAACATGGGAGAAAGTGGATAGACGACACATCAAAAACATACACTTGCATGATTTTTTTTTTAAAGACTCAAATTTAGAGTTCTGAAACAAACAAAGAAGATGAGACAAGGCTCGACATCAATCATGATTAAATATCATAGACCTAAAGAAGGAGCCGTTTACCCATTTTGTTTCTTACAATTTTTATATCTAAATACAGATATATACCTACGTATAGATGTCTATTAATGAGAATCAACCTAAAAGGGACGCACTTTCCATTTATACTCCATAAGCCTTTTTCAATTCATAAGGCATACTAATATGTGAATACAGGTTATGAGACAAGAAAGGAGTGACATATCTATCAAAGCAAATATATATATATGTATATATGTATATATATATACATATATACATTTTTTCTCTTTCAGCACACTCAATGTCAAAAAACACATCAAGTCGGTTAATGCTTCTAACCGTAATAATCACTCCCCCTTCTCCTTCCCCCCGTATAGCCTAAATTTGCTATTATACTTTTGATGTTTCCCCATCGATTGTATAGCTCGAAGAAGAATAATCCGATGGGAAAGGGAAGATGCGAAGCCCAAGTTCCGATCCAACAAATGGCATCCTCCCTTTTGTTCTTCCCGATTGGGCGCTTTAGTCCCCGACCGAGGAGTGTTGGGGCTGGCCTTGGAGTTGAAAGGCGGCGATGTTGAGGGCGCGCTTGGCGGTGGTGAGGGTGGGGTGCCGCGGGCCGCAGTCGAACAAGTGCGTCTCCGGCGGCTTCATCGCGTCGAAGGCCTGATTTAAAAACGTCCGCTCGGCGATCCGCTCATCGCCCTGCGCGAGCGGCGGCGACGGGGCCTCGGGGGCGGGGGCGGGGTAGGAAGGGGTGGGGTGAAACCAGGGAAACAACAGCCCCTGCGCCGCCCGCGGCCGCCGCGCGGGGTCGTAGACGAGGAGGCTCCGATTCAGCTCGATCGCGTCCGGCGAGACGGCGCCCCAGCGCTCGCCCTGGAAGGACGGGCCCTTCTCCATTTCCTTGCAGAGCGCGGCTTTGCTGTGGAATTGGGTGAACGGGAGGGCGCCGCTGAGCATGACGTACATGAGGGTCCCCACGGCGTACATGTCCACCTTCGGCAGGGCGTCGCGGGTGGTGGGGATCTGGGCGCTCTGCGTGAGGCCGCGGATGGTCTCCGGGGCCGCGTATTTGAGGGTCCCGCAGGGGGTGGCCAAAAGGGGGCTTTCGCCGGCCTCCGCGCGGCG